GCCTTCTTTGCATATAACTATTTTCTTTGCGAAAAATAGTCGTCAAGTTGAGCAAACTTTTACAATCTGTAATTACACGAAATGAAGTATTCTCCAAATATATTCTATAATGAAGCAGGCTGTAATACAATCCCAGGAATTCCAATCTACTAGCTCCTAACTTCTGCATGTGCACTGGCACAGCCTTGGACCAGTACGATATAACTCTCCGTTGTCCATCAATTAACTGCGTCAGCATTGCACCGTGCCCTATCTTGCTGGAATCTACTGTGACCTCATATGACTGGTTTGGATCGTTGTACTCTGGTATTGCTAACGTAGGGGCCTGACACATGGCTTGGATTAAGCCCTTGTACGCAGACTGACAGTCAGAGTCCCATTTGAAAGTGACCCCCTTTTGTAACAATTTGTACAAAGGTGCTGCAATGGAACTGAATCCCTTAATGAATCCACGATTATAATTCAGGGCACCTAGAAATTTCTGTAACCTTTTGACAGAATCTGGAGGTTGTAACTGCTTGATTGCTTCTGTCCTCTTTGGATCGATCCTCAGTCCCTCTTTACTGATCATATGTCCCAGAAACTTGACTTCCTGTCTCATCAATTGGGTTTTACTGGTGGAGATCTTGATCCCACCCCATGACAATCTTGCCAAAATGAATCGAATCCTCCTTAGGTGCTCCTTCGGACAATTAGAGCCTACAAGGATATCATCCAAAAAGCAAATCAAGGAACTAAAAGGCACTTTTGAGAAAAGGTAGGACATGCACCTAGCGAATTGGCTTGATGAGCTGGTCTGGCCCATGACTAGTCGTGCCCACTGGTACCTGGATCCGTCATGGTGGGTAAATGCTGTGAGGGGCCGATCCTCCTCCCTCAACCTAATCTGATTGAAGCCTTTAGTGAAGTCAAAGCTGGTTAAGAACCCGCACTCTGACATTTTGTCCATGATTGTGTTAATTCTAGGCAACTCAAAATTGTCAGGTAAGGTTTGCTCATTTAGCTGGCGCATGTCTTGAACCATTCTGTAAGAATCTGTTTGGCCCGGCTTAACCACCATGAATACACAAGAATTCCAATTACTGTAATGACATCTCTCAATTTGACCCGATTTGACCAAATTCCCAATTTCCTTGTCCATGTGAGGCCTCATTTTGTAACTTATGTCTCTACTCGGGACCCACTTTGCAACATAATCTCTTTTAAGCCGGAGATTAGCCTCATAAAATGTTGCTACTCCTAGATCAAACTTGTCTCTCGAGAAACAATGACTGTACTCAGCAAGTAAGTCCTTTAACTCAGCCTTCAACTGTGGCGTGATGTCAATATCATCTACCCTGAGTTGTTTATATAGACTTTCCATATCTCGCCATCTACCGTTCTCTCTATAGATCTCTTCCGGCACTGCATCCTCCAACCTGGGTATATTGATCGCAGCTGAATAAGCTTCTCCCCTTCTTACTTTTCTTACTCCCCTCACCATATTAGGAGTTTCTTCCATGGGTTCCATGAATCCAATAAGTATAACTCTGTTCTTGTTGATCACAACATCAATAGACATGGGATTTATACATCTCAATGGTATTCTGTTGTTGCAAGAAAATGCAATTGCATTTTCCACTGCAACTCCAGTCGATTCGACCAAGTTGCGACTACCGAAGACAATACCTTCATAGTTAGACCCCTTACTTCCCCTGGGATTGATCTTCCCGGTCAGATACACTACTGAATTCGCAGGTACCGTGACGGACTTGCTACATTTGACCTTACAACGATTTACCAACTTAATCGGTCTATCGATGAACTGTTCTTGGCCGTAAGTAGTTGTTAAAAGTTTTTCCGGGAGATATATGCGTGCCTCAAGCTTCCTTAGTAGGTCGTTTCCTGCTAAGATATCCTCCGAAATTACATCACAGGCCACAAATTTGTGCGTGACCGATGTACCAGCAATTTTGACCTGTAACTCGATCTCCCCTCTCATGGGAATGAGTTTATTAGAAAGGCCAGCAACTCTTATTCGGGAAGGTCTAATGTGTTGCGTCATATTTAAACGGTCAATTAACCGAATATTCACTAAACTAACGCTTGCACCGGTATCTGCTAATACATTGACTGCAATGTCCTGGCAACTACCTCTTACTATTATATCGGGACACTGTGGTTGCACTCTAGAGCATTCCCCTCTGAATACGCCCTGATTTGTCATACAATTGTATGGATCCACCCGGACGCCTGTACAACCACTTTCTAGTTTAAAGAATTGTCAGGAAACCCCGTGTTGCCGGTCTGATGAACATTACCCCGCTGCATCATGTTTCCACCTCTGCTATTCCCCTGATTACGTGCATAATTTTGGCCCCGATAATTATTAAAGCTTTTATAGTTTCCCTGATATGCAGGTTGGCCATATTGACGAGAATCAGATTGATCTCTTTTAAATGTACCTGTATTTCCATTGTACTGTCGGTTGAATTCTCCACCGGATCTTCTTCTCGCCCAGCAGTTAGCTCGTACATGTCCGGTCTTGTTGCAATTCCAGCACGTGATGTTCTTGTAACTCCGCCTCCCGTCTCGCTCTCTATCATGCACTGATCTGGGTCTTGACGAGTTTCTGCTCTTTCCTCGCCATTTGTCCCGATTATCACCGGACCAAGATCTCGATCTGCCATCCCCCGTAGGTCTCTGATAAGTAGCTTCTTCTCGATCCTCCCGACTAAATGAGGGTTCATGAATAGTTGGCTCGTCAGAAAATGCCGTTTGTTTCATAATCGAAGAAACGGGAATTTCTCTATCGTTCTCATTCATCATCTTCTCAACGCCTTCTATTTTCTCTGCCAATTTTACTGCTTCCTCAAATGAAGCAAAGGTAGCTATATTGAGCTGCTGCATCATATTTTTGCTCCTTACTCCTCGTAAAAGAGCCAAAAGACAATTGTCTTCCGCCACTGTTACATCCAAGTAAGCTACATTCGACTTCGCCCTCAGTCGAAAAACGTACTCACCTATATCTTCTCCCTGCCGCTGACGACAGTTAAGCAGTTCGTTTTTAAGTGCTGTAGCTTCGTTGCCATAGATGGCTCGCTTGTAGAGCGCACAAAAAAGCTCAGGATCTTTTTTCTCCCTATCACTCAGCTTGACTGCCCTCAATACCGAATAGGTTTTATCGTCCACACTTTGGAGCAAATGCTCATTCAGTAATGGACTCTTCAATCTGGTTATTCTCACGTATGAGAGAAATCTCTCACAAAACATGGAAAAATCTTCTCCTTTTTCAAACCTCTTCAATTTAGCTGCTCGGGATAATTTTGAATTCAAAATTCTCCCTGATCCGTCATGATCATTGTCGCTCTCGTTATCCTCCAAATCCAAATCGCCCACTTCGAAAACCTCTTTTTTAATCTTTTGCTCCTGCACTTTGAGCTCTTCCAATGCGGTTCTGATTTTCTCTCGTTCAGCTTTGATTTTCTCCAACTCTTCTTTCGCTTCAGCCGCTGCTGCAGCCTTTTCTTCCTTGTCACTGCCACTAGTCATCTATGCTCAGTTCACTTCGAGGGTATTTACCAATTGATTAATCAGGCTCCAGTTGATAAAAGGCTCTTTTCCTTTATATTTTGTTCAGCAAGGTGACAAGGGAAAATACTTCAATTCGAATAAACCGTTAAGAATTGTAATTACAATATCTCAGTGTTCCTCAAATACTGTGTCAATAATTCGAATAGCCTAGTTCTTTAACTGTAAACATTAGCTGTAAACGTCTGCTGTATTCAAACCAAAAAGTGTCCTGCCATCCAACAGGCCCACTCTTAAATATCCTTAGATAGTATAAACAATCTCCCACTCGTTTTAGCAATCCCTAAACAAATCCCAAACTATCCTTCCTATAGCCAAAACAGAGATGTAAAATTGAACTCTCTGATAACCAAAACAGAGATGTTAAAATAAACTTTCTGTTTCCCTAAAACTCTCTGCCCTTAACAATATCTTTAACTATCCTCCTATAGCCAAAATAGAGTTGTTAAACTGAACTCTTTGATAACCAAAACAGAGATGTTAAAATAAACTTTCTGTTTCCCTAAAACTCTCTGCACTACCCTGCTGTACTAAATGTCGTACACTAATAAATGCCCTAAAATACTACGGTAAAATACTGTTTAATGTCTAGTACTAAAACTGCTAAAACGAGTATATAACAATACCAGAAGCCTCTACACCCAACCTTAACCGTAAAAAGCTGAGCTTTCCAACCACTGCCATGCAGCCCAGGAATGAGCTCTCTGTTATAACGTGCTTGTTTACGTTCTACTTGGTCACTAAAGTTACTCTCATCACCAACCGCCAACTTTACTAAAATGACCACCTTTCTTTATCAGACTAGACTACAATATCAGGACGTTCTGCAGTTCCGTAGATGTGCTGGGGGACTGTGCTGGGAGGTCATCTTCGTCCCAGATAATCTGCCAATCTTGGTCTTTCTCAAAAGACGGCCCCAACGTTAATGTGGCTCTTGCTATGTGTTGGTTCAGCCGAATTAATTATTATGCAATCAAGTTTATTTTTCTCTTTTAGTTAGTTGTCATCCTGCCAAACATTAAGCAACTTATATTGCAGTACCATTTATCAATTAGTATATCAAAATATGTCATTGTAATTTTGCATGGCTGAAATGTAACGCTTGATTTATATATATAATAATTAATTGAATTTTCAAATAAAAAAGGGCTCTCTCTTTTCATCTTCATCTTTGGTTTTTGGTAAGTGGTAACTGCTGATAAATGACTTGAAGTCTGTCCAGTCCTGAACTTCAAGTTTAAAATCTTTGTTGTTGAACTTCTCGATTTGATCCAGTAGGGATTTCGCAATGACCCGCAGCACGTTATCATGCCTCCAATTGTATCGTTTGTTGTTCAGCGAGAAGTTGCAAGCTACCAAAATGTGCTTAATGTTGCAGTGTTTCCATCCGCAAAGTGGACGGTGTCCTGTGTCAGCATAGTTCCACAGGCTCATGTTTGCTGGAGTATTTGCAACGTCATGGGTTGCATTGAAGTGGAAGTGTGGAACTTAAGAAGAGCAGGGCTCATCTTGTAGTTGTAAATAAGGTTGTTCCAGCCTAAGTGTAGCTGCATGGTGTTTTCCCATGTTAAGAATTGTCCTTGAACTCCCTTGTCTACCAGTGTCAACAGGATATCCTGCTCTGAGATGTGAGATACCAGTTCTTTTAGTTTTTCCTTTTCACTGGATACACTCCTCTTGGATCCCAAGCCCATCATGCCTTGCACTGTTTCCCCTACTAACTCTCTGAAGTAAAGATCTCTTTCTCTAGCAATCAGCTCGTTGGTGTAACCCCACCAACTGCTCCCTTCTTGTTTCTTGGCCCTGTGCTCGTAGACCTCCTTAACTTTAGGATCCTTGCTGTTCTTTAGAGAGTAACCTTTAGACACCTGAAGGAACTTGTATAAGTCCGATAGTCTTATAATCTGTAAAGCACACTGACGGTCATTGTCTTTATAAGTTTTCTCTTTTTTAGAAATTTCTATTTAATAATAAAACTGTAGATTTTATTATTGCTTTCTTTTGAATCGATTTTTTCTTATATAAATATTCAACCAGACCTCCAAACTCTGGATGACATTCACAAATGAATAACGAAATAAAGAAATGAAATTAATAAAGAAATGATGATTAAAAACTATGTGAAATAAATAATAATGAAATCAATTATGAAATGACATTTTGATCATTGCTGTTGGTTGCTATAAAGGTAATCAATCGAGAATTGTAAGCCTACTAAACTAAAAGATTTAAAAAAGAAGCTGGAAATACAATTAAATCAATTTTTTAATCAGTGAAATTGTATACTATACAACCCTGGCGCGTGGGGACACGTTTTTGCTAGTAGTTGGCGACATTATTTTACGGGTATCGAATCTCGCGACTTCAACGAAGTCCTGGGGACAAGTTTTCAATAATTGATAATATTTTCAGCCCCTATCGTTCTAAGCATCGTTAGGGCTTTCCCAGAAACTAACTCTCATCATCCTAGGATAATCGTGTGTCGCACAGCACTTGTTTCAGTAACGATAGTAGTCGCCTTAACGACAGAATGACGTGTACGTTTCGGTCACCTGTGAAAAAAGTAAGTGAGATATCAAAAATCTGAGAAAAACCCGTTGGATAAAAGCCTTTTAGGTAGGTGCTAGTCAAGATTTCATCTCTTTAGACCTTAAGATGGCTTCTAACACCTCGTCAAAACTTTTAAAAAGTAAAATATTAACATCTGAAAATGTCAGAGTACGTTATATATTATCTTTTCCAACGAATACTGAGAAAATGAAAAACAGTGAATATAATGAAATGAATAAAGAAACAAATAAATGAAAATACTAACGAAATGATGATTAAAAACTATGTGAAACAAACAATAAACGTTCTGAACAGCTTTTGAAAATGAGTGAAATATTGATTAATGATAATGTGAAAGAAACAACTACCAATATCAATCTATACTCTGTTTCCGAGTGAATAATGATTAACGATACTGTTATATATAAATCAAATCTTCAGAGTTGCTTTCCTATTGGACAACCCTGGTGTATCATGGTGACTAGCAACTCTGTACTGTAGCTAAAGACTACAGATCTAACTATACATTTATTAACGCAGCAATTTCTTATTCCTAGTAGCGGCACCACTACCAGTGAGTGTAGTTATTTGGTTTGATGAAAAGGGTACAAAGTGAGTACTCTCACTAAAGAAAAATCCTGCTAGAAGAGAACTCTCTTCAAACAATTATAAATAACAACAACTGATTGATTATTGAAAATGTAAAACAAATAAGTATGGTTACTGATTAAAAAATAAAAAACGAGTGTGCTCAGCATTGCCAGCTCCCACAAATCTGTTCTAAAACGGTGAATGAGACAAGTTTTGGACTGGTACACCCCATTTAAAATGAAAAATAACGATAACTAGTATTGATGATGAATAAAATCAAATCAAGCAGGAATATAATGAAATCAATTATGAAATGAATAAAGAAACAAATAAATGAAATTAATAACGAAATGATGATTAAAAACTATGTGAAACAAACAATAAACGTTCTGAACAGCTTTTGAAAATGAGTGAAATATTGATTAATACTTGGTACGGCCATGTGCCATGGTCGCCTTTATACCTATGTTTTATGTAGTGATGTCAATCCCGAATCCCCCACGATTTTCAGCCTGTCATTCCGCTGAATCTTTATTCTTTATTATATCTAACTTAATGAACATAATAGCCGCGCCGCGCGGCCTGGGGTCCCCAGGTTGAGGTAAAAGCACAGCTCACCCAATAAACTGGCACTTAACTCTGACAGTGTTTTGTTGATTAATTGATATAAAAGAATTTTGCATTAAACTTCAGTTTTTCAAAAAAAATCGTTCATTTGTGCAAAAATTATTTGATGATTTAACAATTTTTAAAAAAACTTTTTAAAAAATCCCGGTTTTGTCCCGGTCAAAATTCGGTATTTTAGCCGGGACCGGGATCAAGCCGGGATCCCGGTCGAACCTTGCTCATGAGTCTTGAGTTACAAGTGTACCGCTTATGTACACAGACCTCTCTACAAAAACATTGTGAAAAATGGGTTTAGACACGATTTTAATTTTGCAAGAAATAACTAAAATGTAAAACCTAACATTAACAAGCATTCCCAAACCGATTTCATTTAATTTGCTCCTTCATAAAATGGAAAAATTTTAATTTCAAATTTGGACACGTGTCTTGTAACACGCTCCTACTAAATCGCTCGCCCAAATTTTAAGAAAATTCTTGTGAAAAGGCCCTTTGGGCATGAAAGTGATCTAAATCGGTGTATTTTTGGACGCTGATTCCGAATCACCCCCATGACGTAGGGGAAAAATGCTTCCTTGGAGAGTTATGGGCAAAAAACCGTTTTGGTCACGTGACGGCTGCAAAACCATAAAAACCAAAGTCTCGTGAAATTTTTGGGCGAGCGAATTAGTAGGAGCCTGAAGCTTTGACCACAAAAGGCTTGATCTGATCTCGGAGTGCACGCTTCGCGTGCACGAGAGAGGTATACAACTGACAACGTGCACCAACAGTCAATTCATTCGAATATTCTAAAATTTGCAAGTTGAATTGTTAATGTTAATAAAAGTATTGAAAATTCCCGAAAATCGGGAATTGAAAAAATTTCTCGGTCGGAATTTTCCGGTCGGGATTTCCCGACCGAAAATCGTCGGGCCGGGAAATCCCGGGATTCGGGAATCCCGATGTCGGGATTGACTTCTGCACTACATAAGACATAGGTACACAGGCGACCATGGCCGTACCAAGCATCCCACCAATCATGCTAAAAATATAATAGCCGATAGGCTAGGAAATCCCTGACCCCAGTGCAAGTGCAAATTTCTCTGCATCTGTTCCGAAGTAATCAATATCAGTAAGGATGTTACTGACAGTCATTGCGGAGATCCCAAACAAAAATTTTAATTTGACCATGAAATTGCTCACAACAACGACAACAAGGCTTTTCTTCGCTAGCATAAAGTTTTCTTAGCAAACTAAAAGTAAAAGCAACCACGTTTAACAATTCTAATTCTGCTATTTATCGGACTGCGATAAATAAGTAAAATAGATCCGAAAATCTGTTGGGTTTTGCAAATATACGATTTAACATAATCATTTTATTGCTGTATTTCAGGTTTAAACTTTAAAAGTTATTTAAGTTCTGCTACAATTTAACATTTATAAAGCCAATGATAGAAAAGTGGGTTATAAACAACAAATAAGTTCCTAAACTACAACTATAAAATAACCAAGCCAGCAAAAAGAAATTGCTAAATCACCACGAGTCTGATTGATTGGAACTATCATCCTCCCCAACATCCCTTATAACTGTTACCTTAGTCTCCTTGTTCCAGATCCACGACGCAACAGTCACCATCAGCGCAGCACCAGAGAACATAACAACCACTAACATGGGGCTGTAGTAATAGAGCGCGTAAACAGCCCCAGCTCCCACCACTCCTCCTAGCTTGCCCCAGCTGTTGATAAAACCCATGGCAGTGTTACGGAAGGTAGTGGGGTACAGCTCAGGTATTATGATTAGTGTCACCATGTTGTGGGAAACCTGCATGAACTTCATAACGAAGAACAGTCCCACCGTCACAAAGTTGGAGAAGCACTTGAAGAGGAATATACTTGTGATAAAGCTGACAGTTGCAAATATCTTGAGTGAGATTGACCTGCCCATTATAATGCTGGTACCATATCCAACAAAAGTGGAAAGAACACAAGCAAAGGTAACTATGGAAAGTTCAAGAAGAGAGTTCTGCTGAACTTCAACGCATTTATGAACAGGAGGATCACCCTCACCTCCACAGAAACCAGAATAGAGAGCCAACGGAACAAATACAATCGTCCCAAACAGTATGAGAAGATTCCCAAAGTGTATGGTGGAGAGGAGAATGGTTTCTTTCCTGTAATCTGATTTTAAAATGTCAGAGATTGAGCCAAGTTCCCGGTCTGATCGTACAGCTATCTTCAAGTTCTCAGGAAGAGACACCCCATTCACCTTCGCCATGCGCCGAAGGGCCTCCATAGCCTCCTTCTTTCTACCACTCACAGCTAGATACCGTGGAGATTCTGGTAGTAGACACACCAGAAGAACTAAACAAACTAGCAGTGGCACAGCCATTACGAAAACAAACCACCTCCATCCTAATGTATTAAGAAACAAGTAGGCCAAAACAGCAGCTAGGAACACACTTATATTGAAGAACAAGGTACAAAGCATGGGTCCCACCTCTCTGTGGGTGCTCTTTACTATTTCTGCAGTGAAACTGTTGCAGGTCGGATAAGTAATTCCCATACAGACTCCACTGAGACATCGCAGTATAAAGAACTGCTCTTTAGTTTGAGCAAATGCTGAAGCACTTGAAGTGAGGAACAGCAGAGTTAATGTTATCGCTATCATTTTCTTTCTTCCGTAGATGTCAGGAAACTTTGCAAACAATCCTCCACCTAAAATGTGGCTGTCAAAAAAATTATTCACTATATTCACTTGTATAATGGTGGAAAATGAGTCCGTCAAACAACTACTTCCAAGCAATATCAATCAAGCACACATGACTGTTGTTTTACAAAATAAATAAAACTTAAAAGGCACTTACCTAGAGCACTAAAGAAATAAGCGCTAACGTTGATCAGGGTCTCCCAAACAATGCTTAACCCCCATTCACACCTTATTACAGGAACAATAGTAGAAATTAGAACCATTTCAGAGCCATCCACGTAACATATCACTGCCAAAATGGTCCAATACATGTACTGCGCTTTTCCAACACCTGGAATTATAGTTGTAAGTTTTTCAGCCTGTTTCCCTGCCTCTCTTCCTCTCTTCCTCCCTGCTTCCCTGCATCCCTGCTTCCCTGCCTCCCTGCCTCCATGCCTCCCTGCCTCTCTTCCTCTCTTCCTCCCTGCCTCCCTGCCTCCCTGCCTCCCTGCCTTCCTGCTTCCCTGCCTCCCTGCCTACCTGCCTCCCTGTTTCCCTGCCTCCCTGCCTCCATATATCCCTGTCTCATTGCGTCCTTGCCTCCCTGCCTCCCTGCCTCCCTGCCTCCCTGCCTCCCTGCCTCCCTGCCTCCCTGCCTCCCTGCCTCCCTGCCTCCCTGCCTCCCTGCCTCCCTACCTCCCTGCCTCCCTGCCTCCCTGCCTCCCTGCCTCCCTGCCTCCCTGCCTCCCTGCCTCCCTGCCTCCCTGCCTCCCTACCTCCCTGCCTCCCTGCCTCCCTGCCTCCCTGCCTCCCTGCCTCCCTGCCTCCCTGCCTCCCTGCCTCCCTGCCTCCCTGCCTCCCTGCCTCCCTGCCTCCCTGCCTCCCTGCCTTCCTTCTTCCCTGCCTCCCTGCCTCCCTGCCTCCCTGCCTCCCTGCCTCCCTGCCTCCCTGCCTCCCTGCCTCCCTGCCTCCCTGCCTCCCTGCCTCCCTGCCTCCCTGCCTCCCTGCCTCCCTGCCCTCCTGCCTCCCTACCTCCCTGCCTCCCTGCCTCCCTACCTCCCTGCCCTCTTATTTACCAATTATAGTGTATATTTCTTCAAAAGACTTGGTAGGTATTTCATCGTGCGTGCTACCATATTCAATATGATCTGATTCTATCAGTTCTTCTTTATCAGAGTCCTGTGTACTTGTTGCCATGATCTGCATTCGAAGTATGAATCTAGATTTTCTTAAGAATAATTCTAAAACAGTATCGATTAATAAGTAAAAAGCCTGAACAGAAATGACATTAAAACCGCTGAATACGATTACAAGTAAATACAATATAATATTATTACTAAACAAGAAATTAAGATATCTATAGCTTCTGCTCTCCTCGCGAGTTAGACTGATTCTAACAGCTTAACAGTACTATGCACATGAGTTCAAATAATGAAACCAGTCTCTGCATCATAGAAACTAGCTCTCTGTATGTAATGTAATGAGGAGGTAGAAGCAGAACACAGCACGGTAAACCAAGCGGGGAACAATGGTAACGATATTGGATCGAGTAGACAAACATAGACACGTGCACAGTATTGGGTATACATAAGCGGCCTCTATACACACTTTATACACCTGTATATACACTATAGAGAGGTCTGTGTATACATGGTGTTACAAGGGCTCTTACTTATTCGCTCGCCCAAAAATTTCACGTGACTTTGGTTTTTATGCAGTTTTGCAGCCGTACAAAACGGTTTTACATAAACTCTAATCCCAACCCTAACCATAACCATAACCCCGAAGCTAACCATAACCCTTCTACAACCCTAACCCTTACCCGAGCCCTAAACAATCGAATTCGTATTTTACCAGCCTGTCACGTGACCAAAACGGTTTTTTGCCCATAACTCTCCAAGGAAGCATTTTTACCCTACGTCATAGGGGGGTGATTCGGAATCAGCGTCCAAAAATACACCGATTTAGATCACTTTCATGCCCAAAGGGCCTTTTCACAAGAATTTTCTTAAAATTTGGGCGAGCGATGTAGTACTTAGTAGGAGCGTTAGCTTAGCTTTATATAACATTCGCGTACGACCGTATATTATAGTACGTTGCGCGTTGTTAAACATTTATCTGTGTGCACTGACATGCAATTAAGCGCAGCATTTAGTTTTTAGGTTTTATATAACCTACCAAAACGCCTAAGCTGAATATGCCTCAAAATTATATGACGAAATTGTAACTACAATTAAGGTTTTTTGCTTAACCATAACACAAATAGTTTTAAAATCCTTGTAGGTTTACAACCTACCAGGACGCGCGCCGCGAGTTGGACTCGTCGACGGTCCAATATATGGAACAAATATTTTACGAGTATCACCCGTTAATAAAATCCTCGTATCCGCGCATCCAGCATCAGTGCATATTACTACACTACTACACTACTACACTACTACTGCACTACTACACTACTACTGCACTACTACACTACTACACTACTACACTACTACACTACTACACTACTACACTACTACATAGTAGAGGCTCTTACGGGCAAAAAGACGTGTATTCTGCTACGAGTTTAGAGACCTAACCGCTAATTAGACACAATAGTATGATGTCTAAGGATCGATAATATGTTAAGAAGTATAAATTTGGCCGTATTAGTCACGTGCTATACCAATGCGCGTTTTAAACTTTGACAGTCTATTACTCTAAGGAAAATAGAGTAATTATATTCATATTTTGTCAGCAATAAGATCACATTATTTTCTATTTGGTGTGAAAATATGAGCTAGAACGGACATAATCTTGCTGAGTTATAGCTGTTTGAAATTTATGATGAACGCGCGGGTGCCAATTGATAACAACTAAATGCTTTTGCGCGTAGTGCGCGTCAAAAATTTGGCAAAAACGCTTGCGGAGTGACAATATTCAAACTTCGATAAAGTATATGAAGTGGGTACTTCTCGGAAAGGAAAAATTTAGGCAAACACGATTTGACTATTTTTGGGTTGATTTGATACAACTGCAAAAAATTATTCAAACTTCAAGCAAAAAAGTCAAAATTTTTACCACTTTTTTGGATTTTTACCTGCGCTAAAATAAAGGGATTTGTTTTGTTTTTATACCATCTTGTGCGGCTGTCTTTTAGCTATCTTCATGCAAGTTTTGCCGACATGCCAACAAAATTAACTTGGACCTCAGGCTATTATGTTTATAAACATAATAGAGAACAGAATAGAGATTCGGCGGAATGACAGGCTGAACGCGGCCCAGTAAGATAACTAGGGTCTGACCACACTACGCCTGTTGGCGACGGGCCACATGGCCCGAGTCTAGGCCCGCCACCTAAACACACTGTGCCACTTGGCGTGAGTAGTCACGCCATGTGGCCCGTCTATCTAAACACACTACGCCTGTTGGCGTGAGAACATGTTCCAGGTACGTCACCTGCGCGACGTGCGCAATGTATTATTTTAAAAAACCATTTTGACTGGCTGACAGGACGATGACGTCACAAATATGCACGCCAAGTGGCCCGTTCTCTAAACACACAGTGCCACTTGGCGTGGATTGAGCAAGGCACGGATTTTTAAAATCCGTGCCTCTATTCCTCGAGAGTTTCCACGCCAACTGGCGGGAGCTCTAAACACACTACGTCACGTCAACGTGCCTCGTTGCGTGACTCCGGTGACTTGTGGCGGGGCTTCTGGACACACTGTGACTTTTGGCACACGCCAAGTGGCCCGTCGCCAACAGGCGTAGTGTGGGCAGGCCTATTTAAAAAATACGGGCCTTGCTAAATCCACGCCAAGTGGCACAGTATGTTTAGGTGGCGGGCCTAGACTCAGGCCATGTGGCCCGTCGCCAACAGGCGTAGTGTGGTCAGACCCTAAGTAATAAGTAGATAGAGGACTGCAGGAGGTTCAAAAGTTGAATATGAACTGTCGGGGCTATTTTGCTTTTTTTAAATCTCGAAGTTCGAGTGTAAAATGATTTAACACGGTCATGAAGACATTTGAATGCTTAAGATTTGAATCCGGGCCGATTTCGGGAGCTAAATTACACATGTTCTTATATTAGCTACCTAGCCTTTAAATGTATCATCTCAATTCAAAGATCTTATAGCTTACAGTTTAATCTCAACAAAAGACAGAATTAGTCTCAAAGTTAATTCGAAATATTTGAATATATTGTACATAAAATATCGGGCAAAATGGTTTCAATAAAACAATTAATATCACAGATTACAGATAATCCCTGAACACCGTGTACCCTGCATCTTATAGTTATATTAAAGCTGTTACATTGTTATATTAAAGAAATGGGCTCTTGTTAGAATGTTAAGTTAATTAATGGAACACTATTATGTCAGACTAAAGGGATGAGCCGTTAAACAAGGTATCTACCGTTACTTAGAGGTTTGAGATGGGAGGGCTTGCTTGTAAGCTTTACTGTTTAGTGCTGTGTGTTGTGTGGCTTATATTTAACAATGTGATATTGTACTGGGATCATTTTTTAAGTCTTGTTTAGTAGTGCTTCATGAAAACCGGTCAGTTGTTGTTGTGATCGGGAGATTGAGATGAGGCTTGTCAGGATTTCAATAATTGCAAGTTTTAAATATTTCATGGCGTACACCTGGTTAAATACTAGTAATAATGACATATAGCAATATTTAATCCTTAAAATCAATATCATGGCGAGCCAGCGGAAAACAGCAGTATAGTCAGATCAGCGAGATTTTAAACATATTTATAAACGTATTTATAAACGTGTCAATAAACATACTCAAGAAAATAGTTGTAAAGATGTTCATAAACATGTTTATGTTTATGAACTAGTTCCTAAGTGTATTCATAAACCTGTTTATAATCCTGTTTACATGTAACCAAGTTCTTTCCCTCAAAACTAACGTAGTAATGCTCAATATCAACACCATCATCATGGTGATGCCGTGGAAACACCATGGTGATACATGGTGTTACCATGGTGATAGAAGATCTCATATCTTTCCCTCAAAACTAGCGTAGTATTGCACTCTATATCTAATGGAATAATAAATTGCTGAAAAAAAATGAATTTTACACTAAAATATACATGATTAGATAGTTTTGTAAGTAAAATAAGTAGTATTGAAACTAAAAGAAAACTATTTATTCAACTTCTTCACATCGTATGAAGAATTATCAGCTCTAATTGCAGAATGATCAACACAGTATATTTTCAAAATAACAGTTTTTTGTTATGAAATTGCAGATAATTGACCTTAATGACAAAATGAACTTTTCTTTTTTCGTGTTTAGCAGCTTCCTGTACCATACAAAGGATCGTGTGTAAATGAGCAGCTTTCACAACCATTTCAGAAGTAGGTTACCATGGAGATAACAGTGCCATATAAGGTGAATGGGTTGAATTGGACGGTGTGGTTTTATACTGACAGATTCCCTTGGATTAAATAAGTAGGCTTTCTCCTTGTGGTGTTACCGTGATGATACACGTAGTAAACACTATACAAGCTGCACATCCACGTAAAACCTCAACAATCAGGTGATTATAACTATCAACCATGTACATGATGTCACGTGACATGTGACATGTGACATCATCTTCATACCAGGCCCGCACTCTTCAGATTGTGTTCTAAAAATATCTCCACCACAGCGTCGAACACAAACTTTATGTTGTTTGTGTCAGTAGCATTTGTGAAGTGAGGGAATATGCTTTTCTCGGGGTTCTTGTTCAGAGCGACGAGCTGATCTTGGATGTACTGTTTGCAGGTGTCATAATCGTTGGGACCTGTAACAAAGAGAGTTCACTGAAAGCTCATTTCAATCAGTTCTTATACATTATTGATTATATTTATTCAATAATAGTTTATCTAGTTAGGAGTTAATCAAGTAATACATTTCAAAGGGGATATGTTAGTGTCAATCTGATGGCACAAACGTGAAGTTTAGAAGAGTCTTTAAGCATTCCAAAAAAGCTTAATATTTCGCAATATGCTGATTATAGAATATGCTAAAATATGCTAAAATATGCTAAAATATGCTGAAATATGCGGAAATATGATAAAATATGCTAAAGTATGCTAAAATGTACTGAATATTTTACCGCTATATTCGGGGAATGCTACGGTAATTGGAACGTGTTCTATTTTCCGCTGGAAGATGTCAGTTTTGTTGAGAAACAGAATAAACGGTGTAGTAGTGAAATACTTCATGTTACATATGCTGCTGAATAGTAACATACTTTCCTTCATACGGTTCTGAAATGGAGTGTTGGTTAATTAATAAATTTATTAACTTGAATCCTTTTTGCAAGTCAATTGTCGTCACCTAAGGTGACTCACTCCCCTTTAGGTGTTTGTTTATAAGCGACAATACATGCAACACTGCAACGAGTAGAATATGATGATGTCACTCCAAAACAATGAAACTCTTTATCAACGTGTTGGTTTGGGGAGCAGAAAATGGAATAGTTTGAGGTACACGATGTTAAGATAATAAGACACGTAATTATGTTGCTATTTACATAATATACAGAAAATGGTATTTTGAGGGGTTTATACTTAAATAAATGCAGCATCTGTGAAGAATTATGGTCTTAAACTTGAGGTATATAAACTTACACTATATTGTATTTTAGATGTATAATACTATTTTTCACTACAATGGATGAAAATTGAAGATGTACTGAAGGGTACCCTTAATATAAGATGCCAGATCTTTTGGCAACCACTGATAATTTGTACCTCAATCACAGAAAATTGTAACCCCTCTGTTTGAGAGTAAGAAGTACCACCATTTGGCGACTTAGCCTCTAAACTAACAGTCGTATATTTGAGAAATTATAAACTTACTGTCTTATTGTCCTCAGCAAGTCTGAGGTTATACTCGCTGAGAGCGATGATGAAGATGATAGCAGTTACATCGTCAAAACAATGTATCCACTTACTCCGCTGCGTTCTCTGTCCTCCTACATCGTACATTCTGGGGGATTATTAGCAGTTAGTAACTATCAAGTGGTATGTATAGTTACTGCAATATATTCACGCCTCCTCCCCCCTCCTCCCCCCTCCTCCCAGCACGCCTCTCTCCCCCTCCTCCCCCCTCCTCCCAGCACGCCTCTCTCCCCCCTACCCCCCTCCTACTCAGAGAAGCACTACTATAAGACTATTTACATTATAATAAGTTAATGGGTGATGTAATAAACTTTTCCTTGTGTGTGTGTGTGTGTGTGTGTGTGTGTGTGTGTGTGTGTGTGTGACAAATTGCAACCTGTCATCATGTAGTATATTACATTACAGTATATTACACTGTATTACACTGTACATCTCCCCGTACCAGACTCACTCTCACAGCACTTCAAAACCACGTACCAGTGTACAAGAGGAGGACTTACCTGAGCAGAACTTACCAATCAGAACACAGCATTCGTACCACGTGACACAAAGTAACCAATCAGAACACAGCATTCGCACCACGTGGCACATAATAAACCAGACTAAACCAGATAGAATGGTTTACAACCTATAAGACACACCAAGATGACACTAGGTAACAAAACATGCCGCTACCATCAAAAAACCTTAACACTACACTCAGTTATGACAGACAGAAATTATACAGAGCTACAGTGCACCTTCATCACCGAACACTGTGGGCTAAACGAACACCTTCATATCACCTGAAAATGTAGCACCAATGCCTGTTCTACGTGTGACCATGAGGTATATAGAGACCGTCTCGCATTTTCTAGGACAGTACCAAGCTATTGCTCAACTAAGAGGACAAAACTTTTATTATTGCCTCTCTGGAAAAAAAGGAATCTTCGACAACACTACCTCCTAAATTTTCTTCTAGATTTCCCCGGCATCATCAGGTCCAGCATCTCTGTAAAAAACGTGGCACAAAGCAACCAATGAAGAAACAGTATCTGCAACCAATGAATACACAATATTTATATTTTGCAACCAATGAAGACAGAGTGAAAGTGAAAGTGAATGTGTTTGCAACCTACTTGAAACTAAGGGTTTTGTAGTTAAACTTTGCTTCTACTATCTTGGTGGTCTCCAGCCGAGTACAGAGAATGTCGTCTATAGTGGGCAGGTAGTTTCGCTCTGTTATCCTCTCTATGTTATCAAAAAAACTGAAATGGAAGATTGTAAGAGGAAATCTGTCGACAGAAATATTAAACCAGGTCGTTTTTTTTTTCTATTGCCATATTTTAATTGGTATCTATATGAATATGGCAATACAAAATAAACTAGTTTGTGTTTTAACACAAACTAGTTTATTTAAAAATATTTAAAGTATTAATAAATACATTAAACTGGAGTAGTAAAATAAAGTACTCAAAAGCTTAAGTATCTATTACGTAAAACAAAGAACCGGCACTTATTAATCTCAAACATTCAAATTATACTGTTCTAAAAAGCTTTGAAGGGATTCAAAATGAATGACCATCATATCCATCAAATTTATAAAATTCAGTTGCTTTTGCCGGAGATTTTAAAAGCTATTATATCAAGATATAAGTTCAGCTAACTAAAGTATAATAAAACTTACTATTGTGCACAATCATAGATCTGATAATCTGCTCTCATATCGTATGCTTTCTGCACTCCCCTGAAATAGGACTCATGTAAAATACTATTTCACATTGTTACATCTTATCTAAGATGAAAACAAAATAAAACTTAAAGAAATAATAGTTTATTTCCTCAATTTTACTGTATGATTTGTAACAGAAGCTGGGTAAACACGACTAGATGATATGACAGATTCAGACTTCATTATATTTATGTACATTGTACAGTGCTTAAAATTTAATATAACCAAAATAAATTAATAAGTTAACAAATATTTCATACTTGATTGAAGAATGCTCTGTTACCATGGTTACCATGGTAACAGTTACCATGGTAAGACTGACCTGTCTTCCCACAGCCTTTTAACACACATCCCATATTCCGGAGTCAAGTGCGTTTGGAAGGCGTTACAAGGTTTCAAATATGTGATACAGTCCGCATCTTTCTAGGTAGTAAGTTAGCCAAGTTTGTTATAAATAAAATAGACCTATTAGTAACTCGAGAAATGTTTGAAAACTTTATTTATTATTTACATGGGCTATAATAGGTTATAGAAGTAGGGTTGCAGCGGTACCATTATAGACACTACTTTATATAGAGTATCACAGCACATTATCTGAGGTAAGTGGTCACCTCGGACAACCGGTATTATACAATGTGAAAACTACTTTCAAAAGTCTGCAGTAATTTATATCATACCAGGGGTGTAGGAAGAAATAAAATCTGGGCAAGGGGCGAAATGGGCCAACTTTTTTGGCCTCATTTGGCCTATCCTGTCAAACTGCAGTTTAACTGCACGGTAGTCGCCCCTTGTAGTCCAAATTTACATACCTTATTGCTAAAATTCATTTCTTAAAACAAATTTTCCAAACATTGTTCCAGATTCTCCCTCCTTTCACCCTTTTTGAGAGTGAGACCTATTGCTGTAAGCATGTTTTTCAAAATTGGCAGGACTTTATCCTTTGATATGGTGACTTTGGTTACTTTGGTTACTTTGGTGTGCTTCATAGAATCCTCTATCGGGTCATCAGAGTTGCTGACCACCCGGACAGCGAGGTTGCTGCCTTTATTCCACACCAGTCGCAGTAACGAGTTTCCATTTCGACAGCTGTATCCTGCCACTAGAGGCTCATCCGGGAATGATTTCACAAACGTTGTAAGCATTTTTTTAAGTGCAGGGGATCTTCGATAGTATGTTTGGTGGGATTAAGTTCCACAATCGAGGTCCAATTGCAGGCCCTAATATGCATTTAAAATCGTATTATTTGAATCGTTCTTGAAACTGTGTTTGAAAATGATCTCTATTGCCAAAATGCTCAGCTAGGCCTTTTGCACGTGCAAAATCATCAACAAAAATTTCGCCATTTATAGTATCCATATGCCAAAAGAATTTGGACAAGATGCAGCCTTCGCTTAGGCCATCCTGCCATAAACTTACAATATTCTATGCAGGCATAGTTGACACTGAACCGTTGCTGTTTTTGAAATTCAGGCTGTGGCCAAAGCTCGTGCTAAATTTTTAAAACTCTAAGATTTTGGCCCTCTCATGAAGAAAATCATTCCTACACCTCTGTATCATACACACTATTATTAAACATTAAAAACAAATAATTGCAAATGAATTTCACAGCTCAGGTACAGCACATATTATTAAGTTTTTAACAAACTAACTAATTAACTAGGTTAGTTGATAGGTTGGTTGCTAAGTAACGGTTGCTAGGTTACGCTTAGCTGCAGTTACGGTGTGTCTGTCATATTCTCTTAAATTAAATAACCTCATTACCCGTCTCTCATGTCACAATCTAATTAGAGGAACTAAATGTGGGATAGGTCATCGACGTTTAAATCTGAGCTTGTTTTTAGATTAGATCAAATTTGGAGAGATTTAATATCTTGATTTGCTGCTGTACTACAGGAGCAATCCCTGATTACTCTAGATTAAAACATGTTGCTGTACATGTCGATTGGGCGACATCTGTCCGACAGCGACATCTGTCCGACTCAGAAATATTTTATCTCGGATCCTACCGTACGATTTTCTTGAAACTTTCTAGATAGTAAAATATAATTTGTGCAAGTTTGGGTGAATTTCTATGTGCCAAATTTTAGATATCACTTCAAACACAAGAAAATAGTGCTGTCGGACAGATGTCGCTGTCGGACAGATGTCGTGTTACCGTACATGTCAACCTACGTTACTCTATGTCAACCTACTTCACTTTATTTCAAGTTAATTTACTCTTAACAGCAGGATAGTAAAAGGGAGAGAGGGTCTAAAAGAGGCACAGCTGGACGTTGCTAAAGTAACGCTAGGGTTGCTAAGGTAACACGTCGCTGAGTTACATGTATATATCTAAACTGCTAAACTGCTGCTAAGGTGAGGGCGGCAGCAACATGAATATAAATACCTTCAACTTCTTGTGAAGTTCCCTTAATTTCAAACAATCGACTGATATAGAAAATAAGGTTCACAATTCACATTATAATAAATAGTATGAAATGCTGTAACATTATATTTATAACATCATTAAAATTTGATGGCTCTGTGGTTATCACAGCGCGATAGTTTTGTTACTATATCAAACGGAGAAAATGTGGCAATTGGGACAAATAGAAGTCGTGAAGGTAACACTGGCGGTTGCTTAGATAACACTAAGGAAACACTAAAAGAAATGAGTTACTGTGTCAAGTTAACAGACCTGATATTCTATTAGAATCGTTGAAAGGCATGCCCATGTTCTCCATTGCAGTTAGAATGGCACACATACAGTCAACTATATTCCTGTGCACTACAACCTTGTACTGTTGTCGCTCGTTCTGGAGGATTTATTGAGTTATACGTCCACTTTCACTTTCATTTTCACTTTCACTTTGATGGTGTGCAAATGTTTGAGTGAATTACTGTTTAGTTTCGCAACTCGGGGTAAGTCACCTATTATTAACTTCGCCTGATTTAGAGGAAATAGATTATGCTTAACATAATACTGGTGAGGGTAATTATATCAAATCATCATTGTACGCTTAATTTAAAAAGTAAATGTTTCCTACATCATTGTAGCCGCTGTTGTGTAAAATCCTCATTTGTTTCAGGATGGTACTTTTACCACTTTCTCCTGGACCTGCAATAATACTGGTGATGTGTCTGACCTACCGAGTACAGTAGTAGTACTACTACTAGTACTACTTCTACTGACCTACCTAGTACCGAGCAAAAAAATACAAAGAACTAACCAAGAAGGAGCAAAAAGAACACAAAGAACTAACCAAGAAGGAGCAAAAGAACACAAAGAACTAACCAAGAAGGAGCAAAAAGAACACAAAGAACTAACCAAGAAGGAGCAAAAAGAACACAAAGAACTAACCAAGAAGGAACAAAAAGAACACAAAGAACTAACCAAGAAGGAGCAAAAAGAATACAAAGAACTAACCAAGAAGGAGCAAAAAGAACACAAAGAACTAACCAAGAAGGAGCAAAAAGAACACAAAGAACTAACCAAGAAGGAGCAAAAAGAACACAAAGAACTAACCAAGAAGGAACACAAAGAACTAACCAAGAAGGAGCAAATGGACTTCTTTCTGTCGTTGTCTCTTCCATTCCTGAAGTTGTCTGTCTATATTGTTGCTAGCTTGTGTAAGACTGGGGTCGGCCCCTTCTCCTGAAATAAACATGGTTTAACACAGAAATATACACTAACTACCTCCAGTTGACAATTGTACAGTTTAGAAATATTGTTGATGATTAAATTGTTCAGAGTGTAGCCTATATATTACATTTGCTCTATACATCTTTTAATTATTGAGCTACCACTAGACACTAGTGGTTGCTAAGGTAAGCTCGGGTTAGATATTGATATACCATTCAATATCTTAATTAGCTCATAAATTTCCAAACCTTGGCTGTTTTGCTGGCTGTTATTTTGGTACCAATGGTGGTTGCTATGGTAACATTGGTGGTTGCTATCTGGTACCCATGGCCCAATGGTGGTTGCTATGGTAACACTGGTGGTTGCTATGGTAACACTGGTGGTTGCTATGGTAACACTGGTGGTTTCTATGGTAACACTGGTGGTTGCTATGGTAACATTGATGGTTGCTATGGTAACACTGGTGGTTGCTATGGTAACACTGGTGGTTGCTATGGTAACACTGGTGGTTGCTATGGTAACACTGGTGGTTGCTATGGTAACACTGGTGGTTGTTATGGTAACACTGGTGGTTGCTATGGTAACACTGGTGGTTGCTATGGTAACACTGGTGGTTGCTATGGTAACACTGGTGGTTGCTATGGTAACACTGGTGGTTGCTATGGTAACACTTACCTTCTACAAGTCCTGGACAACACCTCTCCATTAAACCCTTTATCATGTCACAGTTGGACCAATCTTACATGTCTGCTTCATTTACATCCCTGTTACAACATAATTTCCGGTTATTGGTAAGTAAAAGTTAAGAGTTAGTAAGTTCAATAAGAAGATAGGATATATCCCGGTGGAACTACAGGCTTACAGGGTGATCCACAGTTATCACAATGAAAACCAGACAGTTGATCAAGGAACACAGTAAGAGAGAGAATGTTAATTCCGGACCAACCAGCGAATTAATTAACATTTTCCAGTGCTGCGTGTTTTACGGGCAATATCAGAAGTCAGGATGTAATAATTTCCTGAATATTCAACCCTGGAAATGTATAAGTAATACTAGTTCTAGTAGCTAATAAGCTACTAGTTCTGGTACTTCTAGTGGAAATGTCGTAGTGAGCGGACATCGTCATGCTGCAGTAGTATTAAAAAACTATCTCTAATGAGTAATGCTACCCTACATGAGTAAAAGTCATAATACAGCAGATGAAGATACAAGAGAATAGTACAGTAAAACCCCGATTTACCGTGTCCTGATTTACCGTGTCCTGATTTACCGCGTCCCGATTTACTGCAAACCCGAATTACCGCGGCCATCTCCTTTCCCCCAAATAGGGCTTATAAAATGCATATTTTTTTGGAGAGAGGCTGGGCCTGGATGGCCCACGAGAGGATAGCATGTGGATGCTCTGTCTGCCTCTGGGGTATGGCAACCATGGTGGAGGTTGCCGAAGATGAGCTAAGACAACGTGTGAGTGGTCACTATGTCACACCGGTCTGGTCCAGCTCCTCTGGCACAATTAAGCGTTTGGTGCGGTTTGCGAAATTGACAATAGTGGAGATGTGTTGGTTGTCAAATATGGCATTGACGGAGAGGTAATAGTCCTGGAAATATTGTCCTCATATTTGGGCAATAGCTGGGCACTGATCAAGAAAGTGTAAGACAGTCTCCTCTTCGTTGCAAATGGTGTGGAGGTGTTTTTTAAAGCCACAGTGTCCCGTGATAACTGATAAGGTGCACTGCAGTTCTTTAATTTTGTTCGTTATTGCTGATTGTAGTGCTGAGATTTTTTATGACGTTGACGTGTTTGTGGCAGAGTGTCATTTTGGTGTGTCTGGGACCATCAGTTGACCAGGTTTCCTGATCCAGTCTGGTGACTTTGTCGTCGATCAGGCGTAATTTATGTAAGATTGTGGAATTGGACACTTCAAATCTGACCCAGTCAGTGTTCTTGACTAGGCGGATCTGCTTCGGTTCCTTTTTCGGTCCTGTGATTCGAACATGATATATCGGTGGTCGGACTTGGAATAGAGATCACTGTCATAAGTTACTGATCAGATCTCCTCCCAACTGGTTTGTTATAGTGAGATCAATAATGGAGTTGTGACTCCTGGAGTTCATAAAGGTTGGTGTCGACCCCCTAGGGAGGAGAGGAAGCAGTTCCTCCCCTATTTTATTGCACATCCTGTTCCCCCAAAGAGTGTGGTATGAGTTAGTATCTGATCCTATAATAGGCGGGATTTTGTGATCAATGGCATTCCTTGAGAGAGGGGGTGTCTCTTGCGGTGGTTGCTATGGTTTATATCCATGAACGAAGCTGCCAGAATAAGTTCTGTCGAGCTGAGTTGGATTTTAATGGCCACTTGATCGGGTGTTGTGAATTGTGTAAGTTCCCAACATTTTACTGTCAGGTTTTTGTGCATAGTGTAAACAAACATAACCCCGATTTACTGCAAACCCCGATTTACTGCAAACCCCGATTTACCGCAGATTTTTCCTTTCCCCAAACTCCGCGGTAAATCGGAGTTTTACTTTAATAACAACTACAACAGAAACGCACAACGTGTGTACCATAATAATATAATACTATAATAGTAGTAGTATATATACTAGTTCTATACAGCTGCTAGTACGAGACAAGTTGATTAATTGGAGCAGTAAACACAGTGAACTACTGAACTCAGTAAGTAAATAGCAATCAAGCATGAATCACGGCGGAGAATATTGTCTGAAAAGCAGTGATCTAACATCATAACACTGGTATTTTTAACGATATTATACACTCTCTGTTATGTGTGCTTTATAACACTGTATCATAGTGTTACAGTGTAGTGACTACACTGTAACACTAAACTGTATCATTGTGTTACAGTGTAGTGACTACACTGTAACACTAAACTGTATCATTGTGTTACAGTGTAGTGACTGCACTGTAACACTAAACTGTATCATAGTGTTACAGTGTAGTGACTACACTGTGACACTAAACTGTATCATAGTGTTACAGTGTAGTGACTACACTGTAACACTAAACTGTATCATAGTGTTACAGTGTAGTGTCTATAACTGTATCATAGTGTTACAGTGTAGTGACTAAACTGTAACACTAAACTGTATCATAGACCATAGTGTTACAGTGTAGTGACTACACTGTAACACTAAACTGTATCATAGACCATAGTGTTACAGTGTAGTGACTACACTGTAACACTAAACTGTATCATAGTGTTACAGTGTAGTGACTACACTGTAACACTAAACTGTATCATAGTGTTACAGTGTAGTGACTACACTGTAACACTAAACTGTATCATAGTGTTACAGTGTAGTGACTCTAACTGTATCATAGTGTTACAGTGTAGTGACTATAACTGTATCATAGTGTTACAGTGTAGTGACTACACTGTAACACTAAACTGTATCATAGACCATAGTGTTACAGTGTAGTGACTACACTGTAACACTAAACTGTATCATAGTGTTACAGTGTAGTGACTACACTGTAACACTAAACTGTATCATAGTGTTACAGTGTAGTGACTACACTGTAACACTAAACTGTATCATAGTGTTACAGTGTAGTGTCTATAACTGTATCATAGTGTTACAGTGTGGTGACTAAACTGTAACACTAAACTGTATCATAGACCATAGTGTTACAGTGTAGTGACTACACTGTAACACTAAACTGTATCATAGTGTTACAGTGTAGTGACTACACTGTAACACTAAACTGTATCATAGACCATAGTGTTACAGTGTAGTGACTACACTGTAACACTAAACTGTATCATAGTGTTACAGTGTAGTGACTAAACTGTATCATAGTGTTACAGTGTAATGTTACAGTGTAGTGACTACACTGTACTGTAACACTAAACTGTATCATAATGTTACAGTGTAGTGTTTATAACTGTAACATAGTGTTACAGTGTAGTGACTAAACTGTAACACTATGATAATATTGTAGTGTTACAGTATTTTAGCAATATTGTAGCACTGTTATAGTTTTACCTTCTACCAATAAAGTGGTGTATATAGTCCTTTGAAGAGGACCTGTTATAGACAGTACACAAAATAGAGCTAGCGTGAGGGATACTGGTGGTTGCTAAGGTAACTACTGGTGGTTGCTAAGGTAACACTGGTACTGATAAGCTCATACAAGGTAACAAGAGCAGAGTGAGCAGGCGAACAAATCAGTATATTAACCAGCATTAAGCTGCACTGATGAGATGATACAAGCTGATATAATATGATAACCCGTAACTTAAGTACTCTGAATACAGGCAATATAGTGTACAACTACAAGGTCAGAGTATTGTAGGGAGAGTTACAACTGTAACACATAACAGGCAATGTAACACACAATGTAACACGCAATGTAACAGACAATGTAACAGGCAATGTAACAGACAGTGTAACAGGCAATGTAACAGGCAATGTAATAGGCAATGTAACAGGCAATGTAACACGCTATGTAACACGTTATGTAACAGAGTAGTGTAGGTATGCACTATGCAGCTGCGGTTGTTGCACTTATCTTTTCATTACACCTCACATTCCGTTCTAATTAAGAGAATTGCATTTCCCACTCAACATGTACATGCAGCATGTACACATTCTTTGCTTTATAACCGGGGGTTGTTGTGGTAACACTGGTGGTTGCTATGGTTACACTGGTGGTTGCTATGGTAACACTGGTGGTTGCTATGGTAACACTGGTGGTTGCTATGGTAACATTGATGGTTGCTATGGTAACACTGGTGGTTGCTATGGTAACATTGGTGGTTGCTATGGTAACACTGGTAGGTGCTATGGTAACACTGGTGGTTGCTATGGTAACACTGGTGGTTGCTATGGTAACACTGGTGGGTGCTATGGTAACACTGGTGGTTGCTATGGTAACATTGGTGGTTGATATGGTACAGGTAACACTACAGTGGTTGTTAAGGTAACACTGGTGGGTGCTATGGTAACATTGGTGGTTGCTATGGTAACATTGGTGGTTGCTATGGTCACTGGTGGTTGCTATGGTAACACTGGTGACACTACAGTGGTTGTTAAGGTAACACTGGTGGGTGCTATGGTAACATTGGTGGTTGCTATGGTAACATTGGTGGTTGCTATGGTCACTGGTGGTTGCTATGGTAACACTGGTGGGTGTTATGGTAACACTGGTGGTTGCTATGGTAACATTGGTGGTTGATATGGTACAGGTAACACTACAGTGGTTGTTAAGGTAACACTGGTGGGTGCTATGGTAACATTGGTGGTTGCTATGGTAACATTGGTGGTTGCTATGGTCACTGGTGGTTGCTATGGTAACACTGGTGGGTGTTATGGTAACACTGGTGGTTGCTATGGTAACACTGGTGGTTGATATGGTACAGGTAACACTACAGTGGTTGTTAAGGTAACACTAGTGGTTGATAACTTAACACAAGACGTGGTTGCCAGGGAAACAATATTTGGGTTGCTAAGGTAACACAGGTGTTGCTAAGATGTTGCTATGGTAACACATATCCCACTTAACATGTACACACAGTCTCCTATCTGTCATATTAATGCTTTTCATACAAGTTACAACAAAGTCTTCATGTTATGTATCCTGGGTTTTGACAGGATATTTCCCGTTTACAATATTTCCATCGCGATAGATAACACTGAAACACAATACATTTACACTAAATTATGCAATCACAACATTATAATTAACAAAATAAGTTTAATCAGAGAATCTCAGATACAAGTCATCATAAATTATGCACAAA